CTTCTTCAAAATAGACTCGCCCAGGCCATGGTAGTTTGTGGAAGAGCCACACTCAAGGGGCCAAAGAGCCGCATGTGGCTTGCAAGCCGCAGTTTGCCGACCATGGGTCTAGGGAGTTCCATCAGGCGGCCTATGAGCTGACATCTGCTGGTAGAGTTCCATTATCTCTGCACACATGTCTTTTCATTTTAGTGAAAAGGAAAGCCTTGGGCCCTAACCAGTTTGGCTCAGTGGATAGAGCGTCGGCCTGCTGACTGAAGGGTCCTGGGTTCAATTCTGGTCAGGTGCATGTACTCTGATTGTGGGCACATCCCCAGTAGGGGGTGTGCAAGAGGCAGCTGATCGATGTTTCTCTCTCATCGATGTTCTAACTCTCTATCCCTCTCTCTTCCTCTCTGTAAAAAAATCAATAAAATATTTTAAAAAGAAAAGGAAAGCCTTGGTAAACTAGACCCTTCCAATGACAAGATTTTCATAGGCGCCTGACTTTTAGGTGAAAGAGACAGGTCGCAGAGAGCACAGGCCACAGGCAAGTATTTTAAAGACCCACATTGATCTACCCTAGGAACAGTGTCCCCAGCCCAGACTCTGGCTCTCCTGCCGCCCGCTCACGCCTCAGAGCCACCACCTGCCCCCATGGTCTGGTCTCTTCTCCTGGTTGCACTGTAAATTCTTTGAGGGCAAGGAACTGTATTTTATACCACACTTAATTCCACAGGGTACTTAGCACAGATCTTCACCTATCTTAGGGTGCGAGCATTTGGCAATGGGTTAGAAAAGGCTGCACGGCATCATTGATGTCAGTAGCGTGGTCAGACCGGTTGAGGCCATGCTCCTCGGTCTGTTCAGCGCCCTGAAGCCTCATGGGTTTGGGTTTGCATCGCCGTCCTCCCGGGGCCTGGCAGTGTGAACGTGGACACGCACTTCACTCTCAGCCTAACACGCAGGGCTGTTGTAAGAATCAGTGATTAAATATTTAAGGTGTCTGACAGCTGCTGCTGCTATGTCGCTTGTCTCACAAGCAGAAGTCTCCTAGCTTGGAGCTCGTTATTCCACAGCTGAGAGCTCTTGTCTTTTCTGGAGTTGCACTTCCGTTTGGAAATGGATGGCTCCTAGTACTTGAGGCTGGCTGGCTTCGGTGGAAGGGGTGCTAGTTGGCCTGAATCTTGAAAGATGAGTAGATAGATGCTTAGAAAGCAGAAAAGGATGGAAAGGCACTTCAGACAGAAGGAACAGCGTGTGCGGAGGCCCAGGGGCGTGAAGGAGGGTGGCAGGTGGAAGCAGCTGATGTCGGTTGAGTGAGGGACGGGCGCTGTGGGCTGTGGAGCCAGATCACAAAAGGTGTGTTGCATGAGATAACAGTCAGACTGGCATCTTAGCAAGTTTCTCCGTAAGTTTCCCATCGTCTCTGGAACAACAAATGTTTAAATTGGGTTCATGCGCTTTGAGCCAGGGATGGGGGGTAGGCATGGACTGTTTTCCCAGCAGGTGACTTCTGAACTCTTCTTGGAGAAACATCTCACCTAGTTCACGGTCAGACTCGGGGGCGGGCAGCAGGTGGTCTCAGAGCGTCACTCTCCACTGTGCCCCCAGAGGTGCCACGTACGGAGATGCCGTCCAGGCTGGTTGGCCCCACGTTTTCTCACAGCTTGCTTTTTTGATCTCATGGTTCCCCCGGTAGATTGAGTGTAATGCCTTTGGACAAATTAATGCTAGTCATCGTTGTTGGCCTGCTCAAGTGACACGGTCAGAGGCCCCCAGCAGCCCTCTCCTGTGGGAGCTGCTCGGCGGATATGGTGATGGTCTCCTTGTCCTGTTGTTGGTGTTGTCTTTGCCTGTGGAGAAGCTCGGGGTTGGGATGTGGTGATGAGGAGCAGTCTGAGGCAGCGCCTCTGCCTCCCGCCTTTGCTTGTGCGTTCGAGGGCGTATCCCAGGGGGAGGCTCGTTGGGGCGTCCTGCCCATTGTCTTGGGAACAGCCGACGGCAGCTGAGCCTTCGCTTGCCCCCGACCCGTGCCTGTGGGCTCCCTGTCTCTGTCAGTGTCTCTCTCCTGTGCTCCTCTGCCTCACTCTTCATCAGCAGGGCTCGGCAGTCCACCTATTGTTCTTCCTTTTGGTTCCCTCAAACCCAGCCCACATCTCTTCAGCTCCACATCCTCAGTCAAGTGCGTGCAAGCTGTTATTCCATGTTAATTAGAAGTTCTTTCTCCAGCCAAGAACCTAGCTCGGAACTCTTCCCCAAGCTGAGGCCTGGCGGTGGGCTCTGGCGTGTGGGCACCGGCAAAGGGCCCGTGGGCATTGTTCTTGGAGCCACAGCGCCCCCTGTGCGGGTTCACCGTCCCCACCAGCTGGAGGCCCTCCCTGGGGCAGGCACCCTCCAAGCCCGGCCCAGCCCGAGGAACTGGGGTGGCTCCCAGAGAACCTGGTCCCATCCTAGGCAGGTGTTTGTGGCCAGGTTGCTCGGCAACCAGCCCGCATCCGGGCAGGTCTCGGCCTCCGGTAGGTCTCCACCAGAAGCGGAAAGGTGGCCTTCGGCACCTCTCCTTCTGTGGTAACACCTCGCCCAGTTGACCCACTTGGGTGGGAGGTTCTGGTGGAAACCTTCCACCACCTCGGGCTCACTGAAGCCCCTGAAAACCCCTCCACACACACACACACACACACACACACACCCTGAGGGGCTGTCACTCCTTGCAGGTGGGCCTGGAAAGTGTCTGCTTCCCGAGGAGGTTTTTAGCAGAAACCGAGACCTGGTCTCCTGTCTGGGCTCACGCTTTGTGCCCACCGCTTGGAGATGAGAGACCGCATCCTTGCATTACCTGGCTGCCGTTCCATCATCCGGCTCCTGCAAACCAGGCTGAGGAAGCCGGCCCCTGACTGCCGGAGCCCCCATGTCCCCTTGGGCATCCTGTGTTCCATTCAGAGGGAGTGTCGGTGCCAGCTCACTCCTGAGCGTGCGCAGTGACAGTTAGGACACCCTCATTCTGTCTCGGGACCACGGAGGAAAAAGAGCCTCCAGTGGCCTTCAGACGAGGCCGTCACGCTGGGGGTGCTGAGCAGTTCTCCTTGATGTCTAACTTAAACCGCTAGAAACATGTTTCTTTATATCCTGGTTTACAGAGAAAGTAGGCGGTGAGCAAAGGCTGATTTCAGGCCCATTGACTGCCGAGCACAGCTCTAGGCGCCATGGAGGTGAGACCCAAGACTGGGGCTGGGGTTCTGTTACCAAAGGGAGAGAAGCACCAGCCACTGAGAAGGGTTTTTACACAGATGGCATTGACATTGTTCTTAAAGGGCCATCGCAGGGCCAGGCACACAGGCCTTTCAAGGAGAGGAGCTCCTCCCTCTCTCCTCCTCCTCCTCCTCCTCCTCCTAATCCTTCTCCTCCTCCTCTCCCTCCCCCTCTCCTTCTCCTCCTCCTCAATAACAACAAGCACCAGCGTACTGAGTAGGGACTGTGAGAGTGTAAAAGTGGTATTAGTTGAAGACTTACTTGATGAGGTGAGGTTTTAGGTGAATTTAGGAAGAATGAGGAGATATGGATGAGTAGAGATTAAGATTGAAAGCATGGCATATATATCCATAGAATTATGACAGAACCATAGCCTTGGGCCGGTGAACTCTATCCTGGAGGGATGCTCAGACCGGATGTGCCATAGGCTGGCGGGCAGAGTGCCTTAAAGAGCTCAGGAGGGATGTGACTTATTATTACAGTCAGAAAGGAATCACTGTAGTTTCTTGAACTGGGAATGAGAATTATTTTTCGAGATTTTTTAAAAATCCTTATCCAAGGATATTTTTCCAATGATTTTTAGAGAGATTAGAAGGGAGGGAGAAGGGTGAGAGAGAAAGAGAAAGGGAAACATCAATATGAGAGACAGACACACTGATTGGTTGCCTTCCGCACGTGCCCCAACCCAGGCCAGGGATTAAGCCTGCAACCAAGTTACGTGCCCTTGACTGGGAATCAAACCCGTGACCCTTTGGTCTGAGGGCCAATGCTCTAACCCAGGGGTGGGAAACCTTTTCTCTGCCAAGGGCCATTTGGATATTTATAACATCATTCAGGGGTCACACACAACTATCAGCTTACAAATTTGGCTGCTGTACATGGTCAAACGTTTCATTAAGTCACCCCCACTGCCTTGGCAGGGCCAGACCAAACGATGTTCCCCATCCCTGTAACCACTGAGCAAAGCCAGGGCGGGAGCCTTTATAATACGGTTTCTTCGAGCTGTGCAGGTCAACGGGGTGGGAAGACCACGAAGAGGTGCCTGGGCTCATGCTGGAGCTTTCTCAGGTCCTTGACCGTGATGGGCGCGGGACCAGGAGAGCTGGTGTGTAACAGAGAGACCTGAGTAACTTTCTGGGTGGGAGAACTCTGAGGGTCCGAGAAAGAGAGAAGGGTCTAAGCTCAGCGCTCAGAAGGTCTGATGGAGGTGAAGCCATTGGTGATAACAAAAATAGGGAAGAGACAGTGGTTGTGGAGGGAATTGGTGAAGACCTAGCTGCTAAATAGGGGGAGACCGAGAGGGGAGGAAGGGGCTGCCCTTCCTCGCGGGAGCTTCTGAGGCCGATCTGTCCACCTTCACACGATGAGCATCACTGTGGAAGGTTAATTGCAGATATTTATATCAACGGAGTCACATCTTCTGTGTCATTTTGTAGATAAATCTTAAGATTAGCTTTCAATGAATTTTTGTAGTTTTGCAGGTAAATTGGTTTTGTTCTGAAAAAGCATGCCCTTAATGAAATCCCTGTGTCCTCAATAAAATTAGCCTCTCGGATGAATTTCGCCCGACCACACACATGGTCGTTGCCTGCCTTGGCCTCAGGGGTGAGGCTCAGACACAGCCCCACGCTGAGCCGGGGTTCTGGAGCCCTCGTTGGGGTGAGGCCCTTGGACGCCCCGTTCCTGAGCGAGTGCAGTAGCTCCGAGACGGATCCAGGCCACTCCCTGGGTGGTGAGCTGTGTCCTCTTCTCCCTGTCTCCCCCCACAGACTGCTGTTCTCCAAAGTGAAGCTGGAGTCCCTGTGCCGGGGCCCGGATGAGGCGCTGCTCACCTGCAAGCACATGCTACAGATATGGAAATCCTGCTACAACCTGACCAACCCCAGGTAAGAGGCCAGCACGGCCTGTTCTGTGTGGGTTCGCGTGGGCCCTGTCTCTCGGCGCCCTCCGACTGGCATTGAGTGGTGCCCCCCCCCAGGTCCCCAACACAGCAGCTGGTAGCGGGGAGCCTCCCACACTCTCTCTTGAAGGGGGTTTTCTCCTGCTGGCCAATGAGGCCATAGGTCATGGGTTTCTTTTGCTTTTGCTTCCACGGTGGCCATTCGACTCAGCTCACAACTGATGACTATCTGATGACGTATGGGGAGGCTAGTCTGTTATATATTCCAGATCGGATTCTTACAGGAATATTTAAAAGACCTGCACAGACAACAGGCCACATCCTGCTAAGGAGAGTAGAACTTGCTGTGGGCATGGTAAAGTGCTATTTTCAAAAAGTTAATACCATGACTCAACTAGAAATTAAGCATGTGTCAAATATTTTATTTCCTCACTAGTTAAAGAGGGAATCAGTAAAAATGGTAAGGCTTGTTCCAAGGAGACTTTACAAAAGATTCGCTGAAACGAATTTGCACAAATAAATGCAAAAACACTGTCCTGTAGGACAGTGAAATACGTTGTTTGGGATCATCTTTTGTGCAAGGTGGAAATCGATTGTATCTGGACCAGGCGTGGTCAGTGGAGTCAGTCCTAAGGCCCCACCCCACAGAGGCAGACCATCTGGGGGCGTGCACTGTCCACACACACACACACACACACACACACACACACACACACACATGCGCGCGCGCACGCGCGGAAAGATACTCCATAACCTGCTGTGGCCATTTTCAGGCCTGGGCAGTTTTTGTGCTGCATGTTTAGGTTACGGAGTGCCCCCTGCCTATCAAGCAGGCAATGTAACAAACAGGGATGTAATGATTCCAGTGAATTCTAACAACCGCTCCTACATTCAGAGTGTTTTTCAAGCTCGTAGCTAGATGCATGGCCAGCTCAGATTGTGCTCTTAAACTCAGGAGCCTAAAAACGCACGACTCAGATGGTAAATGTGTACTGAGAGTGTGGCATGCTCAGTCTGGCCCCCCAGGAGGCCGGCACGTGGCAGTGGCCGGGGCCCGTGGCAGTGGCCGTGGCCCATGGCAGGTGGCCGCGGTCCCCAGCTGCTGGCCTGGGGAGAGGAAGATGGGGTGGGCCGCAGGGGGCAGCAGAGAGTAGGCGGGGCTCCAGGTGAGATTCTGTTTTTGCAAAAGCTCCTGTAGTTAAAAGACACGTCTTGGCCGAAACCAGTTTGGCTCAGTGGTAGAGTGTCGGTCTGCAGACTGAAGGGTCTCAGGTTCGATTCCAGTCGGGGGCATGTGCATTGGTTGCGGGGTGTGCAGGAGGCAGCTGGTCGATGTTTCTCTCTCACCGACGTTTCTGGCTCTCTATCTCTCTCCCTTCCTCCTCTCTGTAAAATATCAATAAAATATATTAAAAAAAAAAAAAAAAAAAAGACACGTCAGGGTCAGGGCCCTGCTAACGGCATGGGTCCTTGGGAACTGACATTAACAGACACGCCCGCAGGCCCCTGGGTGTGCCTCACAGGGGGCTCGTCCTGGAAAGCCACGCAGCCCCTCGCAGAGCTGGGGGCCGAGACTTAGAAAGAGTTCCCTTTGTAACCATAAACCCTCCTCTTGGTGAGAAGAGAGTGTCTTTCCTTTTGAGGGTATGTTCTGAAAATAAAGATCATTTTAACTTTTTAAATATTCTCCTTCTCCAAGTCTTTAAGCAGAAATAGAAAATGCTCATAGTTGTGCCCCCTAAAGCCCCTCCCTCCTGGCCTATCAGAAGCAGCAGGTTTGGGGGAGACTCTGCCACCAGCCCAGCCAGCAGGAGATCCTCCCCAGGCCGCTGCTTCCTCCTGTGGCTGAACACTGTCCTCTGCCCGTGCCCCCTTTAGAAATGAGAAAATAAATCCACCAGCGAGCGCATTGCCAGTTTTCCCTCGTTTCTCCACACTTCTCCCACCTCCCTACATTTCCTCCCACTTAGCAACCAAGAATATTGAATGTGAAGAGAAAAAAAAAATAGCAGAATTGGAGAGCTTTTTAAAAATGCTTAACCAAACGCCTGGGCTGTGTCCCTACTTCCTCTGTCTCCTGAAGGGTCTTTGAGGGCTGGAGCTGGAGAAACCCTCACTTCAGGCGCAGCCGGGGTGGGTGTGGGTGTAGGTAGAAGGGGGCCCATCACAGAACTGCACCCTACAGCTGCTGCTCCCTCCAGCTACACCCCCTCCAGCTGCCCACCCCCCCAGCTACTCTTCCCTCCAGCTACTCCCAAAGCCTGAGGGAGAGGGTGGTAATCAGGCAGCCCCTTATTAAGGAGCTTCCTCTTTTTTAAAAAAAACATTTTATTTATTTTCTCTGGGATATAAATAAATGTTTCTCCTGTAGCCCTTACCGCTGTGCACGTTTAGACACCTCCCCGAATGGTGGGAGACGTGACCTTGGCGGGAGAACAGAGCATCGAGGGGAGGGCCGTGTCCTGACGGGGACAGCACGCGTGCAGCTCTCCCATCAGCGCTGGCGCAGCAGCCTTGAATCAACGGTGGGGTCACACGGAGTTTTAGAAAAGGGTGGAATCGCATGAGCAAGTGCGTGAGAAGTACCCCTGCTTAACAGACCCTCTCTGCGCGGCCCCCTTCTGCTCGAAGGAAGATCTCTCTGAGCTGCCACGGAACCGCACCGGAGACCCTCGCAAAGAGCGTCCCGCCCGCCGCCGAGGACGTGTGGCTTGCTGTGGGCAGAGCGGTGGGTGTGCTCTCCGAGTGTCCCTCTGGCAAGGTGTCTGTGGTGGCAGAAGCCCGGACGTGCTTCCCTAGGGGCTGCAGCTCCCCTTGCGTTTCGGATAGAAATCCGTCTCCTGTTTGGTCCTCACTCTCTTCATCGTCTCGAAGGCCCCCTCTGCTTGTGCGTTTTCACCTGGCCACCCAGGACAGTGTGACCTCTGACCCACCTGGCCACCCAGGACAGTGTGACCTCTGACCCACCTGGCCACCCAGGACAGTGTGACCTCTGACCCGCCAGAGTCCTACCCAAGGCCCAGCCGCCTCCCTGACCGCACAGGACAGCCTTTCCCCTGTGGTGCCCGGCCTGTGCCTTAGCCTGGCAGGATCGCCGCTGTCCTTTCCACACGTGGAAGATAACATCGGAGCGGAACAAGCTTACATAACTCGCCCGAGTCCTCCCAGGGAAGTAAGCAGTAGAGCAGAGTGAAACCCAGGCCTAACACTAAAGCTCCCTCCACCACGTGTTCTGCTTCTCTGCGTGGCCAACCAGCTGCCTTGTTAAAATACGTTTCCTTGCCCGACATCACCTACTTGCTAGGACAGATGTAGGGATAGATGCCCGCTGAGTCCCAGGACCCGGCATCACACGTGGCAGCCAGCCCTGTGCTCCGGGACATGGTGAGAGGGAGAGCCTGCAGGATTGTGGCCAAAACGGACATGTCTGACCCCCTGTCTCGGGTTTGGTCCATGGAAGCCCAGCTATATCCTTTCCAATGCCAACAGCTCAGGGCGTGTCCCGGGATCTCCAAGGTGATGGAAAATGCACTCCATTTTGAGATAACATCTTCTGAAAAACTCCTACGTGGGGAGCCATTGCAATATTCACGTTCTTGTAATGTTTTTAGTAACGTTTACATTAAAAACACAGAGACCCGTGCTAGAAATATTTAGTCAGTAATGTGTCCAGTGAAAATGTGCGTGTACGTTGATGTTATCCGCTGCTCAAAGTCATTTATTGTTTCTTGGTGGTGGAAATAACTGATAGGACAGTTTCCGGAAAACACATAACCGGAGATGTATTATAGAACGTCCGGCTGCCTGGTCCTCTGTCCTGAATGAAGCAGGTTTCCTCCTGTTTCCGGTGGATTTCTCTAACTCCATCCCTGAGCGTGGAAACGGCAGCCTGCAAACCATATTAAGTCTCAGACCAAACCTTGTTTGTGCCACTTTTTGCCACAGCTGCAGTGAGGAAGGAAATTGTGTTCCTTTGTTGTGGAATTTGAACTTCTTAACAAAAAAAAAAAAAAAAAAAAAAATACCACCCTTAGCCCCCAGATGGATAACAAATGGACAAAGAATGTATTAAAGACTCACAATTCAAGAGGCAAATCAGCTTGTTTTTGGAGGTTCTTGGATGGAATATCATGAGAGGAAAAAAGAAGACTATTGTTTTTGCTGATAGGCTTCTCAGAATTTTAAAGAACAACAACAAAAACAGGAGTCTGTATAGCGGAGGTCCCTTAGCTCTGTGTCCTTCCAGTTACACCTGAGGGGGTGCCATGCAGGAGAAAGCTGGAGAGGGGATTCGTGCAGGAAGTGGCCACCGACCCTGCTGTGCTCCTCCTGACCCTGCCTCCCCCCACCCCCTCAGCCACTTCTCCAGCTCAGGAACACTGGGCGGGCGGCGGCTCCAGCCCTCCCCAGACCCGCTCACTGTGTGACCTCACGCCGCCTCCTCTTCATGTGCCAGGCGGGTATCGAACACCAAATTTATCTTGAAGGCTTATTCTGGGACACAAACAAGGCCCTGGCTATGATTCCTCTTTGAAGAGTAGGGGCCAGGGGTTCTTGAATCCAGCTACAAGTTAGAACCTTCTGGGGAGCTTTGAAAAGTGTTGACTGCCCCAGAAGTTCTGAATTTGTGTTCTGGAGTGGGCCCTGGGCGTGAGCGGTTTTAGAAGTGCCCGGTGACGTCCTGGGGCAGTTCTGGCTAAGATGCACTGGCACCGAGTGGACACATGAGGAGGGCGTGTACGGGCATGATGATCTATGGACTCGCAATCCCAGCCAGTTTCCCCAGTAAGGTAGATGGGGCCCTGGGCTTGTAGCTCTCGTTTTTATATTTTATAACTAGAGGCCTAGTGCACGAAATTTGTGCATGGAGGGGAGGAGGGTGTCCCTCAGCCCAGCCTGCATCCTCTCCAATCTGAGATTCCTCGAGGAATGTCCAATTGCCCAGTTAGGCCCAATCCCAGTAGGATGGGGCCTAAACAAGAAGTCGGACATCCCTCTCATAACCCAGGACTGCTGGCTCCCAACTGCTTGCCTGCCTGCCTTCCTGATTGTCCCTAAACATTTCTGCCTGCCAGCCTGATCACCCCCTAACCACTTCCCTACCAGCCTGATTGATGCCTAACTGCTCCCTTGCCAGCCTGATTGCCCCTAACTACCCTCCTTTGCAGGCCTGATCACACCTAACTGCCCTCCTTTGCAAGGTTGATCACCCCCAACTGCCCTCCCTTGCAGACCTGGTCCCTCCCAACTGCCCTCCCCTGCTGGCCTGATCACCCACAACTCCTGCCCTCCTCTGCTGGCCATCTTGTGGTGGCCATCTTGTGTCCACATGGGAGCAGCCATCTTTGACTAGATAGGGGCAGCCATCTTGTGTGTTGGAGTGATGGTCAATTTGTATATTACTCTTTTATTAGACAGGATAGAGGCCTGGTGCATGGGTGGGAGCCAGCTGGTTTGCCCTGAAGGGTATCCTGGATCAGAGTGGAACATGTGGTGGCCTGGGCGAGGGGCCTGTGGTGGTTTGCAGGCCAGCCTTGCCCCCAGTGACCCAAGCAGAGGCCCTGGTATCTAGGATTTATTTATCTTCTATAATTAAAACTTTGTAGCCTTGAGCAGAGGCCAGGGCATGGGGGAGAGTGGGGGGATGGGAAGCTTGGCTTCCTCCATTGCCTGGGAAACCTACGCCTCCTGCTCTCTCCAGCTCCATGGCTGCCGCCATTTTTTATTAGGATTTTTTAATCTTCTATAATTGAAACTTTGTAGCCTTGAGTGGAGCCCAGGGCCAGCCAGGGTTTGCGGGAAGCTTGACTTCCTCCATTGCCAGGGAAACCTAAGCCTCCTAGTTGCTCTGTGGCCGCAGCCATCTTGGTCGGGTTAATTTGCACACTCGCTTCTGATTGGCTGGTGGATGTGGCTTGTGGGCATAGCAGAGATACGGCCAATTTGCATGTTTCTCTTTTATTAGTATAGATGGCAAAAAGAGGCTGAAATCAGCTAGGACCGTGGGTGTGGTTTAAGCCAATGTGATGTTGACTGCTGAAAGCAATCCCAGCCCCAGCCAGGAAGCAGGTGCTCTGTGACAGATGAAAAGGTGCCGAACAGCATCAGAAACACACCCAACATCAAAAGCTGCTTTGCAGGAGTCCATATTGGTGGAATCTGTTTCCTCCCGCCCACCTTTCAAATGACTGACATCCCTCACTGTTGTGTTGCAGTGACTCGGGACGAGGGAGCAGCCTCTTGGACAGAACCATTGCAGACAGGCGGCAGCTCAACACAATCACCTTGCCAGACTTCAGCGACCCGGAGACAGGTGAGAGCAAAGAGCCGCTGGGGATGGAGTGGTGTCAGCTCCCAGTGCGAGGCCTGGGCCCCGAGTGACAGGGATGCGGACGGCCGCTGGGGTTGGGAACACAACTCACGCAAGTCGGTTAAACTCTCAGCCGAGGTGCATTTTGCCCGTGTCCTTTCCAAGTGTGTGCACAGCAGGGAAGTCATGTTACATGGCCAGCACGTCGCTGAGGTCTTTCTATTTCTCCTCCTTGCTCTTAGAGCCTCAAATTCAAAACCAAAATTAGATTGTTCCCGTCTCCACCAGCTTCCCCTCTGCTTTCCCGGTTCTCCCTCTCGCTTTAGATTGCGGACCTTGCTGGAACCCAGGTTTTGATTCCTAATCAGTTGCACATGTGAACACACGGACATCCAGCACAGAGCCTGTAAGGAGGCAGGGGCTGAGCTCTGATTCCACCGCCCCACTTGGCGGCCTGCAGCACTCGCCGCCGCTGAGAGGTGTCTGTGCCTCGCTCTCCTGGCCTTGCCCCATCCCCCCAGGTACAGAGGAATACACAGTCCCCTGTCATTCCAGCGCTCCCAACAAGCAATTCTAATGGTAATTGCGGCTGTTCAGGGGCAGTTTGGAGGGCTGACAGACCCACAACGTACACGGAAGTTCCCTCCCCTTTGAGCCTCAAGGAGTTCCAGTGGGTCCCTCGGAACCTGGCTCGGCAGCTGCTCCGCTGCCTGCCGGGGCCTGCGGGAGGCCAGTCCCGGCTGGGTGTGCCTGCTCTTCATGGGCTGGCTTTGAGAGGAGCCCGGGCCTGAGTGAGTTTAGAAATGCCTGACGATGTCCCTGCCCGGTGAGGGCTAAGACACACTGGGCACCTGAGCAAGCCCCCCGAGGGGAAGCGAGGGAGCAGGCCTGAGGCACGCGCAGCCAGCTGAGGTACCCGCCCAAGCCCCATATTGCAGCGGCCTGGAGGCTGCGTCCCTGAGCAAAGCTTCCTATTACCGAGTGGAAAATCAGCCTGGGAAGTCCCATCCCAGGGCCCCAGGTCAGAAGGACACCGGGCCTTGGAAGCATCCTGAATCGTCCTAGCGCAGCTTAACACTTAAGATCCTGCAGCCACTGCGCCACACGCAGACTGACAAGCCGCACTCCGCCTCCCCCTGGCCCGGCCCGGCCCGGGCTGATCTGCAGGCCTTTCTGGGGGAGGCTACAAACCAGGCAGAGACTCTGACTCAGACTGGTCCAGTCCTGCTAGCGGGTTCTCGAACCCCTCGTTCTAGAATTGGAAGGTCGGCTCTCAGGACCAGGCTGTCTTCCTCCCGTGCCCCTCCCCCAGGAGCCTGTGAGGACAGTCGTACTCAGACCCCTTTACCTCCGGGGCCTCGCTGCTCTGCCGAACCCCTGGCTTAAAGGGCACTGGCACCCGCCACAAGCAGAGCCACACCCGTTGGCATCGGCCAGGGCACGTGGCCAGTGGACGTGTGAACTGCCACCTCCCGGCCCGTCGATTCTGCCGCCCACGGCACTCTGCTCCTCGTGAAGCCACGGGCACGCTTCCAGCCCTTCTTTTCTGTTCCAGAACTAAAGTTTACTTCCTGTTTTTTATCTCCTCCTGTGGAAACTATTCAGACACACCAAGCTGCAATATAATATAATGAATCCCCACGTGTCTGCTGCCAGCCTTCCAGAGCTAGTGTTCCTTTTCCAGCCATCTCTCCCACCCCACTCTTGGGTTCTGGAGTATTTTAAAGCAAATCTCAGACATCATATTTCCCCTGTTAAAATGTCAGTGTAGATGGCAAAGATAAGGACCTTTAAAAAATATTGCACAACACCATTACCATACACCTAGGTCATTACACAGTGCAGGCTTGGGGAGTGGTTAATTGCTGAGAGTACAGGTCTCCACCTCTGAAACTGTCCATACACAGATCTGTGGAGCCGCATTAGGGGAACCCATGTCTCGGAGCTTTGGCCTGGCTGTGGGTTTTATGAAACGGATGTGGCAAATTGAAAAGCCCTCCCCCTTAAAGAACATGATTTCCCAGCTAGCGTCACCTCTGGCCCTCCCGCCCCTCATGGAGAGAGGAATCCAGTGGGGTGACAGCGATAACTCTGAAGCTGCGAACCGCTCTCTTTTCTTTGGAACAAATTGGTAGTTCCTTAAATAGAGAGTGAAAAAAAGGGTTTTTTTTTTCCATGGCCTCCAAAACAGGATGCAGAGTAAGGGGCTTTGTCTTTAATCTCACCCAACACCTCCCTAAGCAAAACCATTCCTTTAACTCGTGAGCTGTCGCTGTGGTGGTCTCCCCACCGCTGGGTCTCTCCAGCCCAAAGGCAGGCAGGGGACGGCCCTCGCTTCCTCCTTCCCAGCCACCGGGCCAGCCGAGAGAGCTAGCCCTCCGCCACCCCCAGCTGGGACCTGACACGTCCTGTCCCTCAGTGTCCGCACCTGGGAAACATAAATACACCAGTCAGACCTCATTTCTGGGACGTCTCCCAGCCCATCCTAAACAGTTCGGTTCTCCACCAAGTTGCTCACAGAAAACACGTCTGGGTTGTTGAACCAAACTTCCGTTTTCAAACGGACCACCCTTTCGGGCTTGTACTCCAGCATCACAAAAAAGCGTCTCTCGGGCAACAAAGGAGAGGATGCTTTTGTGGTCGGTGGAATCAGTGATGAGCACAATTTGAAAACAGACAAAGGCCATCGAGAGTGCTGATGTTGCTAAGGGTGTGAAAGGAACTGATCACAGGAATTGAAGAGGTAGGAAAGCCGCTGCTGATTGGATGAATGAAAACAGCCGCTGACCGCACTTCGGAGGCAGGGGCATGTGAACAAGCAAAGATGCTGCAGGCTGACCTGAAGGACACCCCTGGCGTGAGGCTAGGAGCGGGTGGTTTGGTAAAGTTTAGAAAAGAAGTGCTTGTTTATAGATTAAACAGTACATGAGACAGGCGCTGGATATAAGGAAAGGTAAAACAGGGAATCATCTGGAGGTCTGGAATGGATTAATTCCATTCACGTTGTTTCTAATGGGGGGGAAAGGATTCGGTTTTTGAACACATGGCCTTCCGGAACGCATTGAGTCCGAGAACCGAGGGTCTGCACTCTGAGTGAGTGCTTCTCATAGAAAGCAAACCTAGAAAGCGTCAAGTCCTCACCCTTTTCGACGGAAAGACCAATGGTTTCCCCCAGAATGCCCTGAGGGTTGTAGGGTACAGACATGTTCTTCTCGGTGGGTCTGAAAGAAAAAGAAAAAAAAAACCACTTGTATCCTGTTGTCGAGTAGAGGAATGATTGTGTATGACATGACCTTGTTTTCTTTGCAGCTTATGTGAGTATATTAAAAGCTAGTTTTATTTTTTCTTTGTGTTTCTAAAGTTTTTGTTTTGCTTTTATCCTTCTTTTTTTTTTTTCTCTTTCACTTTTTAGTGTCAGATTCCTCCTCCTCCTCTTCTCTTTCAAGAACCGAGTCTCCTCTCCACCTGTTTGTATCTTCTCATCTCCATTCTCATCCCAAACCCGATATCTTTGTGTGGCCCCCAGCAGCTCACTCATCCCACGGCCCAGGCCCCCGCCAGGAGCCCTCTCGGTGTAAACATGCTTTTCCTTTCATTTTGGTAGATACGCTTCATTTGCCTGATGTTTCACTTTCTGATAATCTTCCTAACTGATAAGCTGGATGGGAAACTCCATCAAACTGATCTGAGAGAAAAAAAAATCTTACTAATTTGAAGATCCAAAAGGCCATTTGGGGCAGGAGCGGGTATTGGTGCCCAGCTTCCAGCCTTCTCTGTGAAAAGTAAAGAAACCTGTTTTTTTGAGAAGAAACAGAAGCTTTTCTAGGTACTTTCTGTGCTTTCCTGGCATTGATAGAAAGGTACTAAAATTCCAAGTTTTTTTTTTTTTTTAAAGGCAAATTAGAACAATTGGCAGATAATTTAGTCTACATATCTCTGGTTTTCCAATTTAGAAATTAATTCAACAAGTATGTAAAAATCAAGCTAGCTCTTTAAAGATAATGGTCCTGTGCCCTTTAAGAATGCGGTTCTCGAACTTTCCTGAGCGTTAAGGTCACACGAAGATCTTTGAAAGCTGTGGATTAGATCCCGGGCCCCACCCCAGAGTCTGTAGTCCAGTGGGCCTGAGAGGGGGGGGCCCAGGAAGCCCCATTTTATAAGATACCCCGTATAATTCCAGGGCCCGTGGGTTCTGCACAGCATTTTGAAAAACAATGCTAGAAATCATTTCCCATTTGCAGGAAAGGGAAATGTAGGGTTTATGTTGTGAAAATACTCAGGAAAAAATTGAGCAGCATTTTAATCTAATCTTGCTTTTAGATAATACTGAAAATTTCAAGGCTGTTTAGGGGGTCTGGGGCCCTGTCACGGAAAAGAAAAAGCCTGAATTAAATGGAACACTGGCTGGTAAAGGCTTAAAATGGGACCTAAATACGAGGAGATCCACCCTTTTTTTCTTAGACTCATTAATTTAATGTTCACCAGAAAAATTAATCTCCATATCCGTGATTTATAAGGGCTCATCTTTGTTCCAAATAAGCAGTTATATGCTGACCAAAGCTCATGAGGGGAACTATTGCCAGAGAAAACTACTTTTTCTAATGTGCTCATCTTTTAGATGGCTAGCCTGCTTTGTTCACACACACACACACACACACACACACGCACACACACACGAGCCAGGACAAAAACAAGGCTGTCATCTAAAATAAGTCATCCAGATCTTACCGGTCTGCATGCTCGGTGCTCTGAAACTTGCTTGAATGACAATCCCAGTTTCATGAACTGGAAGACAGAAATAATGCTAACCTATATAATAAAAGGCTAATATGCAAATCGAGCCAACGGCCAATTGTTATGGCACACACTGACCACCAGGGGGCAGATGCTCAACACAGGATCTGCCCCCTGGTGGTCAGTGCACTCCCAGAGGGGGAGCACCGCTCAGCCAGAAGCCAGGCTGATGAGCACAGCATCGGAGGTGGTGGGCAGCCTCTGCCACCTCCACGGCAGCCCCAAGGACCCATCGGGGGATGTCCACCTGCCGGCCTAGTCCTGCTCCCCACCCCCCCGAGGGGTCCAGATGCGAGAGCGCAGCTGGGCTGAGGGACACCCCCTCCCCCAGTGCACACATGTCATGCACCAGGCCTGTAGTGAACTATAAACTGTTTATGTTGTTTTTAATCCCTTTCTTAAAAATAGATCCCCCCCCCCCTCAAAACAATGCCTAGCGGCAATTGCCAACTTCATTTTTTCCCCACAAAAGCTGTTTTTTGTATTGACTGTTGCCCAGTTTTTTTTGGTCATAAAATGGGATCTCACTGTTCTAGAATCCCTCAGCAATGTTCCCATGCCCGTCCACTCATTCGCACAACATGCCCTCTGACCTCCGTTCCCTGCCAGCGTGTATCACATTGTGTTCCTGTAAACCCGGACAATTGAAGTCCTGGCTCTTGTGAGGCACATTAGAGCAGATCAGCTAGTGAAATGCTGGGTGAGGAGCGCCCACTGGGCTTTCTGCTGAACGTCTACAACCCAAACGGGGCTCAGTTGTTCATCTCTGAGGCTGTGAGTCATCTCCCCCACCCCCACCTTCAGGGAGCACCTGGCCAGTGACCAGGGGTTTTTTTTGTTGTATTTTTTAAAAAGTATATTTTATTGATTTTTTACCGAGAAGAAGGGAGAGGGATAGAGAGTTAGAAACATCGATGAGAGAATCACCGATCAGCTGCCTCCTGCACACCCCCTACTGGGGATGTGCCTGTAACCAAGGTACATGCCCTTGACCGGAATCGAACCTGGGACCTTTCAGTCCGCAGGCCGACGCTCTATCCACTGAGTCAAACCGGTTTTGGCAGTAACCAGGTGTTTTAACTAAGACTGACTCGCCCAGGAACCTTCCCCGCCCCCTGGATGCAAAGTGTAGTTAGAGACGGAGAAGCATACCATACGTTGGCGGTTAAGTGTAGGATTTCCTGATTAAAGTTGTTATGAACTTGAATCCCAAGTCTAGGGACAGACAGCAACAACCTGACATTTTATTAATTTCTCCCTCCAATCCTTTGACTTCATAGAGATGAAAACTGGCCAAACCTTACAAAACTCTTAGAATCACAATCAGGGTTCATGTGCGGAACGATCCGAAAACCGCTTGTTTGATTATTTTTCCCTTCCCTCTGGAATTTCCTGCCCTGGAAACAAAACACAGCACACGAACTGGTCAGCTCGCCTGCGCCTGGAGCGCTAAGACGCAAAGGGGAATGCCCAGTTGGCCTTTGTTAAAAAAAAAAAAAAAAAAAAAAAAAAAAAAAAAAAAAAAATCACTGTTAGTGGAAAACTGTGTCATTCTCGAGTCAAAATCCGATTCCAGACAGCCAGACTTACAGTTGGAAGGTTATTAGAACTCTCTTTGCTTTTTTGTAGCCTTAATTTTGATTTCTTTCAAATGTTTTGTTTCTTGGTTTTAACTTTTGGTTTGATTTGTTGTTCCAAGGCAACTCTCCAGAAGTATACTTTCATGGTTTTCCCTCCCTTTTTTCAGTTAGTAAGTAGTCCACCGGTCTGTTCACCTTCCCCAGGGCTCAGAGTCATGCTTCCCTCCCTCACGGAATGTGTGTGGTGGTTGCTGGCGGGTGGTTGTGGGAGATGGTGTGGACATTCAGCTGCCACCCGCTTGCCCACTCGCCTCCCCCACCCCGACCCCCACCCCCACCCCCACCCCTCCGGGGCTCATCTCTCCTGAGGGGGCTAATGCTTCCGCCACCGCGTGGATTGACATTCTGAGGAGGCAGTACTTGCCTGGAAAGGACCACAGAAGAAGGCCTAGCGGGGAAAGTGCCCAGTAAGGCTGTGAGCGGAGGGTCAGAAGCCCCCCTGTGCTGATCGGAAGTGGGACACCCGATGGCCCAGGTGCGGGCCATCTGTAAATTTTGGGTAGAGGGACCCAGTCAGATCACGACCTTCCTTTCCAGTTCAGCCATTATTGCAGCATAGAAAAGCAATTCTGATCATTCATTTCCCTAAAATAAGCTAAACAGACATCATCAAACGTAAACTACACCTGCCAGAATTTAAAGGAGACAAAACAATTCCCTGTATCTAGAACTAGTGCTTCAGGTGTTATTATTCTTTAAGGCCCTAGTAGATGACCGCATTTTTCCAAAGGCTGATTCTTAGACACTGATTCTACCTGGCCAAATGTTTTTAGAGACTCACAGTTCACATGAGCACATTAAAGGCTCTGAGAAGTCTGCAGTTAAAAAAAAAATGCAAGACTCTCTTAGCTCTGGCCCATTGCGTCCAACCCGATTTCACCGTTTTCCCGCCCTGTGGAACCGCTGTTCCAGGCATCACGTCTTGGAAATGCTAAGGTGCCTGATGACCCGGTGCGTGTGAGATCTGAGCCTGCCCTGCCTGTGGCCAGTGCACCCCTCCGGCAGATGATCTTGCTCGATCTACTCGTGACTTCATTTTGCCTTTGAAAGTCCATAAGCAAAAACAAACGTTTGCTATCATCCTCACATTAGGGTTCTTCAGAAAGAAAAAGGCTTCACGCCAGGGTCTTTCCAATAGCAGGCTCCTCGGATACATGAAAAAGGCTTGATTTTTAGAAAGTCAGGCGACAGGAGACCTTCAGGCAGCCCCTGCGAGTCACGGGGGGCTTCATGGGGTGAGGGGGGGGACATATTTATCCCAGGGACTTGGATTTTCTACGTTCCCTAGAAGCAGCCCAGCTCTCAAAGGTCAGGAAGCCGCGTTCGAGGGCAGGTCTGCAGAGGGACCCAGACAACTCAACTCGGTCCCCCTGGGACCTAGATTCCTCCTCTGGAAATGGCCGTTAGCTGAGTCTCCCTTGGGAATATGTAAGGTGACCAGACCTCCTGCTTTTGGCGGGACAGTCCCGATTTTTTTGTCCCACGTCCCGTGGCATTTTAAAAAGTCCCGATTTTTTTTTTTTTTTTTTCAAAACGCCGCGGGACAAATAGTTAAAAATCGGGACGTCTGTTCGCCTTACTTTATGGTTTTCGGGTCACTGGTCCTGATTCCAGGCCCCAGCCAGGCACCCTTCCCCCCAGTCACAGGGCTGCCCACGCTGCCCCTGCCGTCCCTCCTTAAACCTCGGCGCCCCCACCGGCGAGGATGCTTGGAAGCATCATTTTGGAGAAAAATGTGTGTTGACGTTTTATTCTCCTCTCCAATGGCGAGCTAAAATCAAGAATGCCACCTTGGGCCCTAGGCTCCTGGGCTCTGTTTTTCATATCACAGATTCCGGCGACATCGCCAGGAGGAGAGAATAAACGGGTTAATGAAAACACATACCCTCGGGTGAAATAGGTTGAGAAATGAAAATTAAAGATAGTAGATTTCTATCCCTTTGTTATGGCTAGCATTTTATTACTGACTTGGAATTTTCTAACATTCAGAAAGTATATCACGCACGATCAGGAGGTAACTGGTCAGGTGGTATATTTCACCCTCTGCTCCTGCCTAATAGAATAAAGTCACTTTTTTAAAATCTTGTCTATGAAAAACTTACTCTATGGCTGACCCCACTGCATTTGAAGGGTGTCCATCTTAAAAGTTCAGCCTTAATGATTCAAATATAAATATTTTCTTGCTCATTGGATTAAATTAAAGTCTCCTTCGTTAGTCCCATGGTGTCTTTCTTTAAACAAGATTGGATGGGGCTTTGGGAGATTGACAAGTCAGTAAATAAATGGTAGAAGTTGAGGAGTACGCGTCCAGTAATCAGAGGGTCCCCAAACCTTGGAGGCTGTTCCTGTCCACTGCATTCAGAGACGGGCACGCCTTCCCCGGGCAGAAGGGTACTCGGGCCAGAGACCCGGCCTCAGCGAGCAGGGATGTGGTCCTCCAGCAGGTACTGTCTCCAGCCCAGGCCGCGTGGCCCCGGCAGCTGGCATCTCCCTGCATGCACGGGCACGGCGCCCCCCACGCTTGAGTGTGACCGCCTGGCCGGGCCAGCACCGCCGGCAGCCTGCTGGGCCACCCCGCATGCCCGCCCGGAACCATACCTGCCTCTCCCTGCCTCAGTGCAACCCTTCCCTAACTCTTTCCCGGGAGAACCTTCCCTTTCAGAGGCACGATTTGTCAGGTTTCAACTGTGCTTGATGATCCTGTCGGTCGGTGGGAAATTGTGACCTTGTCTGGGGACTGGTGTTGCTGTCCTAGTCTCTTCCATTCAGCGAAAAGGAACAGTAGCTACTAGAACAGTGACCACGCTTCTTGTCTGTCAGAGGGGCCCGCAGCTGGAGGCCTCCTTGCCAGTGGGACTGGGGGAGGACCAGGCAGCTAGCTGTCCCTAGAGCCGCTCCAGCCCCATGTCCCTGTCACATTAGTGGGCATGCTGCAAAGAGGGCAGCTGGCAAACACAGGGGTTAGAAATGTGGGAGGGAGGGCAGTGGCAGGCAGCTCCAGGAGGCCTCTCCCCTGTCGCATGCTCAGACAGACAGGACTACCCCCAGCAAAGACGGGCGGTGGAGACGGAGATACCGACCAAATGTTTAATGTTCCTAAAAAGGCACAGAGAGAGGACGCTTAATTTGAGGCTTGAAGTGAGCATGGACTCTATCTCCCCTCCCCCTTCAAAAACCAAGAGAGAATCATCATTAGCTCCTCAGCCGCCACCTCCTTCAGCCCGAGGGCACCCCGGTTCTCTGTGCACAGCTGCACAGGTGGCAGGGTCCGGGGTCTCCGGCCGCCAGCAGGCCGCAGTATTGGACTCATTTGCTCCCAAGCTCTGTCTTGAGAAACAGAAAATCTCTTCCTGCTCTAAATGAAAAAGGTTAAGCACAGCGCTGCGGCAGGATGCTTAGTCACGCAGATGGCAGCGGGATGGCAGCCAGGGTCACAGAGATTCAGACTCGGCAGGTGATCCGAATGCCAGGCCGGAGCAGCTCTGCGTCTTACCAACGTGGGAGGGCAGGTGGCTGCTGCGGCATCAGGCAGAGAGAATGCGGACGGCAGTCAGGGAAAGGGGCTTGTGCGCCATCACAGTCCCATATTCAGGCACATGAGGCTCTGGAGTTCACACTGGGGCTGGGAGGCAAAGAACAGCCAGAATCCTGAGTGCGATGTGCCTACTGAGGTCTATTCAGTGGAGGGTTGTTCTTTTTTTTTTTTTTTTTTTTTTTTATTTCTATGCATCACGTGACTGTTGTCCCTTGTTCCTGGACCCTGCTGCTCGCCTGTCACCGGGCGGGCAGGGATTCCCCTGGAGTGAGATTATCTTCTACCTGCTGTGAAGATAGGAGGGGACAGGGCAGGTGGCCGTCCTTCAGACCACAGCCACTCACTCAGCGCCCCCAGGCCCGTCCGGAGGACAGCAGGCCTTGAGCATGCTCTGTGTCCAGTGTCCTGCTGTGACAACGCCGGGTTCTCAGACATAACCAAGCCTCCTAACGCAGCGTGCCTTTGGCTTAACAGCCTTGTTGGCTCTGAGATCCCTCCGAATGATGGACTCGGAGAGGTGACACGCGGGCCGCGGGCGATTGCCACACTGGAGGTGTGCGTGAGACGAGCCGCAGGTCTCGTGCTCCGGAAAAGGGATTTTGGTAAAGGCTCCAGCCGCAAGGGCAACTTGAGCTGACTGTTCCCAGCGTCTTGCTTGTGACAGGGTTTCTCAACGGGCTCCGGCATATGACAGGAGCCGGGTCAGAGGTCCTCGGGAGAGGCCAGAGCTTGACGCACAGCTTCCGAGGTCAGTGGCCTTGGTCCCTGGTCCTCTTGGTCCGCAGGGCAGTGCCTCGGCCCCTCAGTCCCTGAGTCCTTGCCCTCCTCCCCCAACTCCCGCCCCAGCACCCGGTGGCCCCCTCCGGCCCCAGCACAGGGTGGGTCCTAGGGGAGCCCAGACAAAGCCCTGGGTGCGGGGCCCAGGGCCGCTCTTAAGGGGCCCCCTGCCTCCGTGTCAGGTGTCCCAGAGATCGGCTCCACTCGGGGTCTGGGTGAGGAGAGAAAAGGCAGAGGGCTTGGGGAAGCAGAGATCTCGCCGGCCGTGTGGCCTCTTACGGCGCCTCGACCATTCAGGCAATTGGGTCACAGAACCTGGGCCAGCTCTGGGGGCATGCTCCCTCCGCCTGCAGCGGCTCCCAGTGCCTGGTTTCAGAGCCACGGTGTCCTGTGACCGAGGGCCTCGCTGGAGCACAGCAGCTGCTCACCCTCAGGGTTGCCACGGTGACAAGCACTTCCCCAGCAAGTGAGATAAACAAGGGGCACAGCAGCCACTCGCCCTGGCCTACCTGTCGAGCCTGATGATTCGGAAGCTTATTTCTCCAGCCATAGGTTTCCGTGTGGAGATGTGTCCGATGCCCTCCCCTCCGATTCCCTTTCCAAGCTTCGCTCCACGCACACCATAGGGAGACTTTGGCTTTGATGAGAAAGAAAAGAGTCGCTTTAAACAGATGTAGGTTGGATGAGCTTTTCTCGGTGTTAACATCCGTACATCAAAAGCCAGTGTCTGTTTTGACACGTACCGTTTCAGTCCCATGGAACAGTAAGACGCGAGTTCACTTTGGATAATATTTGGATTATATTTTTTAATCAGATACATGCATTCTGATTCAAAATGATGTTTAGCCCTTGTATTCCTCCAAATTCTAATCTCGTGGAAGAATTCCATATCCTGCGCCATTGCCAGGAATATATAATAGATGTTAACTATTAAACACTTTTACCATTATTGCTAGTCCCCTGCTATTATTAGCAACTATCTGATTGCTCTAGTATCCATCCCTGGCCCAGCAAACAAAGGGTCTCCGCCCTGTAGTGTGTGTATAAAAGGGGATTGACCAGGAAGGAGAAATGAGTCCCGATAAACCTCACTTACGCTCCATACCCAAATGGGTGAGTTGTACCTCATGTGGGGGTCGTGTTTACATCACTGTCTATTCTAGTTCAGGGCACGACGTTATCGGGGAAGGAGAGCAGAGCATCCAAAAGAGGGGGCCCCTCGTCCAAACCCGTCCAGTGCCGTGTCTGCGCACAGCACGCACTCTGCACACGGGTGTTCCACGTGCCTGGCACCGCTCCTCCAGAAAGGCCTTGGTGGAGGGCCTGCTGCCTGTCTAGAGGAGCCGCCCACGGTTCGATAGGAGAGACCGTTACTTCTGCTCTCACATAAGACAGTGTGATAAGCTCCTGAGAGCCCCGAGCTCCGAGGCCTGACTGTCCACGGGCCAGTGGTGGGGAGAAACAGAGGCTCGCACAGCCTTCCTGCAAGGAGTGCTGTCAGGGCTGGGCTGAAAGGCTGCATTTGGGTCCCAACGAGGGTTTGAGTCCGGACTCTGCCATCTGTGGGCTGTCTGACTTTGGGTAACTTACATAACCTCCTTAAATCTCAGTTTTGCCTCAAGATTAAATGAGATAATACATGTGAAGTGCTAATCCCGGTGCCTGAAGCAGGGAATGTTCTCTGAACCTGGTAGCCACCACTGCCAGCATCGCCCTCACTCGCCAGACCTTATTCACAGGGAGACGTTTTAGCGAGAGGAATCTGCCCTTTTAGTTGTATGTAGCTACCACAAGGGAAGGAACTTCGGCAGAAGTCCTTATCCGTTCGTTTGTGGGCCGGACCAACAAAGCAGTTCATCCGGAAAGCAAACTGAGCCATTAAATTCTTGTAGCAAAGGAGCCAGAGAACCTGGTGGGAAATTTGCACGAGTCACATTTCTAGCCCAGTCATTTATTATTTCTTTGAAGTGAATGAATGACTCTCTAAACATATCTCAGTTTTGATTTCTATGATAAATACCAATAGACATAACCCATCTAGGGGTCTCAACAACTCCTCAGTCTGAAAGGGCCGTGAGACCCAGTGGCTGGGCCGCAGGGAAGCGGAGAGCCAGGCTGTGGCCCATGGAGAACACGCCCTCGGGCTTCCTTGACTGGATAGCGGTGCCGTCCACCTCAGCCACACCAGGGAGCCCGGGGCGGCCGACGGATAGACCCGGCGCCCCCCCCCCCCCCGGAGGCGGTGACGCCCTTGGTCCGGGATGCATCTACAGCACCCTGATGTTTTAACCCCCACGCCGTTCCCAGGTGGAGCCACGGCCGAGAAGCGCTTGTTCACGATAGTCAGCGAGGGGGTAAGCCAGCTGTCGGTCAGGTCAGGTCAGGCCCAAGCAGCAGCCACCTCCTTTATTTCGCTAAAAATCTCAGGGAAACTGCAGCGAGTCCTGGTTATTCAAGTTAAAATGCTACTTTTCCATAAAAAGGTTAAAGCCTTAATAAGGCCTGAAAAAAGCCAACAGCAGTTCCTCCACCAGCTTCTGCGGGCCAGCGGGCGAGCGCCGCTCCCCTCCCTCCCTGTCAGCACAGCGGGGCCGCCAGGAGGCAGCGTCAGGCAGGCGCAGCCTCTGGGCCGGGGCCTCCGCTGTGACCGCCCTCCACGCAGCTGCTACTAGCCTGAGGTCGTGTTCTAGAACGTGGCTTCCAATCGCCCACCTCCCAAAGGCCAGGGAGTGAAGTGGGGAGCTGTCAGGTCTGTCCTGAAAACGGCCCCCATCGACGGCCAACGTTCCTTCCTCGCCCGTGCTGTTTCTAGGGTTAGGCCCTCACAGGGATGCTCTGTAAGCTCACTGTGTAATGTCCTGTGTGCCGTGTTTGACACGTGTGTCCCAGCCATGCACAGGCCATGCCCCTCCTGCCCCCACGCACACCCGCAGACGGCATCTGGAGGGAGCTCGGAGCTTGGCATGCGCGCTGGTTGTTGACCGAGAGACGAGCTAGCGCAGAGGACAGGAAGTGGTTTCGGCTGCCGTGACCGTGTTTCTTTACTATAGACAGTGAAACTGAGAGACCTCGTGGGGGAAGGGGCGTGTGTCCGTCTTGCACCCCTGTCTGTGTGCGGGAGGGAGGGGGCGGCAGCTGGTTGGCTGGTTGGGTCTGTCCTTTCACTCCTGATGTCATCTTCTCGGAAACCTCCCGCAGGCTCTATCCACGCCACGTCCGTGGCCGCCTCCCGCGTGGAGCAGGCGCTGTCCGAGGTGGCCTCGTCTCTGCAGAGCAGCACCCCCAAGCAGGGCCCGCTGCACCCCTGGATGACCCTGGCACAGATCTGGCTCCACGCAGGTACGCTCTGCCCCGCTGTGGGCCCCGTCCCGCCCACAGTGGGCCCCGGGCCAGAGGCTGCAGGATCCCGTGGGCACTGCCTCTTGAGCCCACAGCCCCTCAGCAGGAGAAATCAGAGCTTTTGCAGTCACACCCAAATGTCAGTACCCCCTGTCCCTGGAGGACATGTTCCACACCCAAATGTCAGTACTCCTTATCCCTGGAGGACATGTTCCACACCCCTCCCCCTACCCCACCCCACCCTCGTGGAAGCTGTAAACTCTGGATGGTATCGAACCCTCTGCGCACTGTTCCCCCTTTTCATTCACACCTCTGGTAAAGTTTGATATATGAATGAGGCACAGTAAGCGATTAAACAATAACATTAAAATTAGAAGCCCTTTACGGCCTCTCTTTGGGGTATCTGAATCGCCAGCACCCCCACTCTTACACTCCGGGGCCACTGTTAAGTAAAATAAGGGCACCTTGAATACAAGCACTGTGACTCCCCAGCAGTCTGCTCGATAACGCAGCCGGCTACTGAGAGACTAACAGGCCGGTCAGGTATCCAGCGACCCCGGACAAAAGGAGGATTCTTGTCCCGGGTGGGATGGAGCAGGGTGGTGCGAGATTTTATCACATTGCTTAGGTTGGTGTGCAATTTAAAGCTTGTGCATTGTTTTTTTTTCTGGAATTTTCCATGAAATATTTTGGGACCACAGTTGACTGTGGGTAACTGAAACATAGAAGGTAAAACCGCCGGTGAAGGGGAGACTCCTGTACTTCTTTGCAGGAACCATGAATTCCTCTGTCTCCTCACCCTTCCCTGCCCTAATCCCCTGCCCCAGAGCCCGGCACAGAGCAGCACGCAGGAAAGCTCTTGGAGTTGGCCTCTGAGGGTGGCAGGGAGCGTGCTAGGTGGGGGCTGTGCTGCAACAGGGCCCAGAGAGCTACGCCCCAGCTTTCTCTGCGTGGCAGCGTGGCACGGGGGCTCAGACCTGGAAGTCTGGAAGCCCCGCAGGCTCGGAGGGGAGTCCCAGCTGTAGTACTGAACAGCTGCACAGACTGAAGCTAATGCTTCCTCCCAGCCTCAGTTTCCTCATCTGTACAATGGGTTGATGAGCACAATGCCTGGCACATCCTGGCAGTGAGACTCGGAGTCCCTGGGAGAGGCACAGGCTCATCGCTGACCCGGTGCCTTTATCAAAGCAGAGGAGGGGCAGCGTTTCCTTCCCCGCTCCCCCTCCAGGCAGCCCTGGGAGTCCACAGCGAGGACGCAGGACTATTTTATTAAACATTAAATAACTATGTTATTTCTGCACTGCTGGGCTGGAAGCTAGCCGGGGAGGCAGGCACCAAGTCCCTCCTGTTTTCACGTGGCTGCGTTTGCATAGCTAGAACCCCCCTCCCCCCTCAAACCCAGCATGCAGGCATGTCAGCAGCAAGAACCCAACTCCACAGGCTCCGGGTGAACGATGGCTGTGGTTTGCTTGCGTTTTTGTTTCCATATAAAAGATAACTTCTGCTCCTCATGTTTGATCACTTGATCTGCAAGGTCCTCCCAGGCCTCCCCTGGCTGGACTCTCGGGGTGCGTGGTGAAAGCCCAAATGTGGCCGGGAAAGTGCTTGTTATCCATCTGTCTGCTCGTTTGCCAGGCCCAGTAGTCTGATATTTAGCCTTGTTTGGAGCTGTTGGCGGGCCTGCATATAGGGAAACCCGGTGGGTTTACCTGGCTTTGGCGTGTCACAGGAAGGGCCCAGCCAGCCTCTTCTGCCTTGGCACCTCTAATTGAGCCATAAAACGACAGTAAATTAACAAATTATATCCTTCTAAGCAGAGCACACGCGAGGGATGATTTAGGGACGTGCCGATGGTTCTTCCTGTGCGGATGCACGCCAGCATCAGCCTCTCCTGGGTCCCGGGAGCTGGCGGTTACATCAGGCCTGCCTCCACTGCTCTCTTACGGGAGCCAGGCCCCGGCCAGGCACCTGGCCGACCCAGTGTTCTTTATGAGCAGTGACTGCAGAGAACGGGGGAGAGGAGGACGGGCTACTGTCGGGTCAGGAGAGACTGGCTGAACCTGCAGAGCCAGGAGGGGAGCCACTGGGGAGGTGAGGTTGTCTTTCAAATGGGCCATAGACTCTAGTTTGTTTGTTTTTGTTTTTGAATAGACTGTATATTTTTATTGATTTCCAGGAGGGAGGGAGGGGGAGAGAGAGAGAAACATCAGTGATAACAGAGAATCATTGATCAGCTTCCTCCTGCACGCCCCCTACTGGGGATTGAGCCCACAACCCCGGGAATCAAACCATGACCTCCTGATTCATAGGTTGATGCTCAACCAACCACTCAGCAACACTGGCCGGGCTGGAGTCTAGTTCCTAAGGGCCAACGTCTGAAAAACCAGAAGAGCTGAAGGGGACCCTCTGGGCTGGAATGAGCTCCATGGACCCCCCAAGCTTACTCCTCTTGCCTGAGTGAGAGCCACAGTCCCAGGGCGGCTTCCCCTGTGGCCTGTTGCCACTCACTCAGTCATCCAGACTTCGTTCCTCCTTGCTTGGCTGGCTGTGACTCTCGGGGGAGAATGCTGTAGCTGCTTGTTGGAACATTGCAGAGCAGCTTGGAGATATCCTGGGGTTTTTATATAATCATGTCGCAGCCATGTCTGACTGCCATGGCCTGCAGGGCAGAATAAAGCCCTCACGGGCTGGTAACGGGGGTGGGCCACGGTGGATATTCTGCCTGTGAGTGAAACTGGACTTACGGAAACCGGGTGCCGTATCTGCCTGACTGTGGGCAGAATATGCATCGTGCTTGTGTGCGCGTGGCAAGCGTGTATGTCCTGTGGATGGCTGGAGGGGATCGGGATCTTGGTAGGGTCTGTGCCATAGGGACCCAAAGCAATGGCTCTGTTAGAGTCAAGATTTAGAATCTTATTGTATATTCATATCACGTCTTCATATAGTCTTCGAAGAGGTCAGCTCAACAGGCAGGCTCCCTCACACGGGGACGTGTTAGCTACTGTGTGGGAGCTCTGCTGCTCTGAGAGGCACAGTAAGCATGACCCCCGCTCTCTGACAGCTGATGGAAAACAGGAGACACCCCGTCCACATCAGCTCAGGCAGCCCCGCCAGATTCTGTCCGTTTTGCAAGCTTTGGAAGCCGCTGGTTAGATCCAGGTCTGACGCCCACGGCGTGGCGTTTCTGTGACTCTGTGGATCTCTTCTCTCATGGTTGTTTTTTCAGCGAGCTTAGTGGAAATGCGTGATGGGAACCCGGGTGGAGCTAGCTTCAGATCTGAGGGTCACAGGTCAGGGCGTCTGAGACGGTCTCAGATCTCCCTGCTGTTGTAGGAGACGGTCCCTGTGTGTCCATTTGAATGGCAGAGAGATCGTGAATGGGACCCCCGAGCTTTCATCCGCTCCGTGAGGGTCCGGCCAGAGCTCAGGGGAGCACAGACCCAGGCCGACCAGGGGTACTTGGGACAGGGTCCCGCCTTCCCTGGGGTGGGACCCATCCCCTGGTTGCCCTCCCCCCCGCCAGCACCTCCTCAGACTCTTACTCATAATACCTGGCGGCCGACCTGGTTTGGATCCCTGTGACAGTTTTATTTAAATTATTTTTGAATAAATAATACAATTTTGAATAAATAGTACACAATGTATTTATTTGTACAAAGGGCATCGAACGAAAAGACTCTGCCCACCTCTGAGCTGTCACCCCCACCCACAGGCATCCACTGTCAGCAGCCGCACTCGGAGGCCACTGCTTTCCCACATGCGTGCTGACTCACACCTTCCCCCGCTGCACAGCAGGAGCCCATGGTGTGAACCTGCCGTCATGTCACCAGGACTCCCTTGCTTAGCATTTAGATTCTTCCTAGTATTTGGCTGTTATAAACAATGCATCAGTAAGTACTGTTACATGTATTGTCTTGTGTCTGTATCTAAGCGTGGAAATGATGCATCAAAGGGGGCATACTCAAATTTTAATAAATCGTGTCAGATTGCCTGCCATAGAACTGCATGAATTTCTATTCAGTCACTAATGCGTGAATGCCCATTTTCTCGCATCTTTGCCAACACAACGAATTACCAAACTTCTCTATCTTTGCCAGTCTGATGGGTGAGAATGACATTTCAATTGTCTGCCTGCCCATTCATCTGCTTAGGTGCTGAGCTGTTCTTTTCATTTGTAGGCATTTATCATATCAGAAATTTGCCTTGTCTGATATGTGCTAGAAATATTTCTCCTCGTTTTTATTTTGTTTGTGTTTTTTGACCTTTTTATCGCCAGTTTTTAAAAACTACATTTATCCATCTTTTCTTGGTGGCATCTGGCCTTCATCTGACATTTAGAAAGCAACTACCCATTTTTACAGTCTCTTTTCCTGAAAGTTCAGGGTATCTGCCAGTGCCACTTGTACATCCTATCTAATAAAAGAGTAATATGCAAATTAACCATCATTCCACTACACCGACAAGCCATGCCCATCGGCTAATCAGAAACAAGTATGCAAATTAACCCAACCAAGATGACTGCAGCCACAGAGCAAGCAGGAGGCTTGGGTTTCCCTGGCAATGGAGGAAGCCAAGCTTTCCGCACACCCTGGTGGCCCAGGCCTCCACTCAAGGCTACAAAGTTTCAATTATAGGAGATAAATAAAATCCAGATCACAGGGCCTCGCTTGGGTTGCCAGGGGGTGTGGCCGGCCTGCAAACCACCAAAGGCTCCCCACCCAGGCCGCCCTATGCCCCACTGGAACCCCACCCTGATCCGGGACACTCTTCAAGGCAAACCAGCTAGCCCCCACCGGTGCACCAGGCCTCTATCCTGTCTAACACCCTATTTCCCTGAAAATAAGACAGTGTCTTATATTAATTTTTGCTCCCAAAGATGTGCTAGATCTTATTTTCAGGGGATGTCTTATTTTTCCATGTGCTAGGTCTTATTTTCAGAGGATGTCTTATTTTCGGGAAAACATGGTAAAAGAGTAATATGCAAATTGACCGTCATTCCAACACACAAGATGCCTGCCCCCATGTGGTCAAAGATGACTGCCCCCATGTGAACTCAAGATGGCAGCCACAAGATGGCCAACAGGGGAAGGCTGTTGGGAGGGACCAGGCCTACAAACTCTGATTGCAGTTGTGGGCAATCAAGCCTGCAGGGGTGGGCAGTTAGGGGTGACCAGACCGGCAGAGGAAGGAAGTTGGGGTTGACTAGACCTGCAGGGAAGAGTAGTTGGGGGGACCAGGCCTGCAGGGGAGGGCAGTTAGGGGCAAACAGGCTGGCAGGGGAGTGGTTAGGGGGTGATCAGGTTGGCAGACAGAAGCGGTTAAGGGCAATCAGGAAAGCAGGCAGGTGAGCAGTTAGGAGCCAGCAGTACTGCAGTCAGACATCCCTCGAGGGGTCCCAGATTGGAGAGGGTACAGGCTGGGCTGAGGGACACATACCCCATACACGAATTTTGTGCAATGGGCTGCTAGTTCATTTACAAAGAAGGTCAGAGGGTTATCTGCCCCTCTTGCAGGAAAGAAAACCAAGCTAGACAGAAGTAAGCGCCTCTGAGTTCCTGCAGCAGGAGCCGGAGGTGGGATAGAGGATTTGATGTTTACTCCACGCACGACGCGTCTCCCCCGGCTTTGTCTGATGCAGACCTCGGTGCTGCCGTTGGAGTCATTCTGCCAGTGACACCGAGCAGAACCAGGACCCTTCCCAGCCAAGCAGCCTGGGTGCCGTCTTTCAATTTCCACCTTGGGATGGCAGCTAAAAATGACTCTGCAGTAGGTGGTTAATTTCTGCTTGTTACTTACTAATAATTATAGCTTTCACTTTGGCACCTCTCACAGTCGAAACCAACGGCTATTCTTAGATGTGCAAGATCAGATTTTCTGATTTCTCCGGGAATTGAAAGCCGTGATACTCTCACCGATTCCTTGGCCCTGGCCCGGCCTGGCCCTTTGCCCTTCCCCCTGCCAGGCCCCTCCCAGCCACCAGCAGGCCGCATGGGCAGAGTCCAGGGATAACCCTGTGGCACGGCCCCTGGCGAGACGGAGACTGCTCCCAGGCAGGTGGCCTGTGGGAGGGATCAGTCCCCGGTCCAGCCTTGTTGCTATGTCCTTGTTGCTCCGCCAGCCCCACCAGACTGCCCCTTCCTCCGCCCGCAGGTGGGTTTTAATTAATGGTCTACAGCTTGCAAGTAGCCAACTCTTATAAAGGACTCTGCGTGTGTCAGACATTCCGTGAACTTTATGTCTCGCCTCGTTTAGTCCTCATAATAGCCTTACAGGGCATAAATGCCCTGTTCCCCTCACTTGACAGATGAAGACACTGAGGCACAGCTGTCGTCCCTCGGGTGGCTGGTGGTTCACTTTTCCGCAGCGTGACGCCTGGGGAGGAGCTGGTGGGTGGGGTCCACGGGGACGAGAACCTGTGTCAGGTGCCTGAGAACATGCAAGTGACAATGTCAGGCACAGGAATTTGGGGGGTGGGGTTCCCAGCCAGGGACGTGATGCGAATGTCCGGGAAGACAATGTCGGTGAGGAGGGAGAGGGCTGGGGCAGGGAGCTGAGGTCCCACGTTTAAAACCCGCTGTGGGGAGGAAAGGCCAAAGACATGGAAGGAGTGGCCAGCAAGGCGGGAGGGGAAAGGAGGGGCGGTGGGTGGCCGCAGAAGGGGTGCACACAGGAGCCCATGAGACAGTGGGGAGCGAGGGCTGGGGACTTGGACGGGTGGAACCCTGATCCCACCATGGTGTCCACGGCAGGGACCCTCTGAGCCCTAGCGCCCTGCTCCCCTGACGTGGGCTGCACAGCTGGCGAGGGAGGCGAGAAGGGCGAGGGCACGTTTCTAGCAAGAAGAACCCTAGGGAGCACAGTGTGGATTTGAGGGGAGCTGGGGAGGAATGTGGGTCAGGGAGGAAGGTGGAAGGCGGATACAGAGCCTGCTGATTGCTGATGGATGATGCAGTCGGGATTGAGACCCCGTCTGTCATCCAGAAGACAGAGGCCAAGTGCTGGTGTGACGCACTTGAGAAGGCCGGAGAGCACCGGCGTCCAGGGCTCAGGGCACAGACTGGCCCTCAGAGCAGAAGGGGCGGCGTGGGTGGGCGCAGTGGGCAATGAAGGGCGTGAGGGCTCCGTGGCGAGAAGGGGCTTGAGGTCGGCTCAGCTGGCTCTGTCTCCTCTTTGAATGAGGAGTCAAGTTCAGCGGGGTTGGGGGTGGAGAGCTAGGGAAAAGGGTTGAGGAGTCAGGAGAGCATCCGGACCAAGGCCTGGGGAGGGACAGAGTGTATAGCCGGTGCAGCCAGGAGCTAGTCTCGCCGTCCCACCAAGCCCCTAGCCGAGGGACCCCTCTGCACAGCCATTCGCAGACTCGGAAATAAATGTCAGCCGTGCAGCCAGGCCCTCAGTGAGGACAGGACCTGGGCAGTGTTCCTCCCAGGGGACTGCAGGCCCCGCGAAGCTCAGGGCAGGGCCAACACATGAAAACCAAGTCACCGCCTCCTTTCACTTCCCGGGTCCCCAGAGGCGGTCCCAGTGAGCCCATAGAGGTGAGGGCCTCCCCTCGGCCTTGAGGATTGGGAGGGTGGCTGGACACTCGTCAGGACACACAGCCGCTTCCTCTTGGCCCTCGTGCTGAATTGCATGAAAGAGTGAGCACGGGAGGCTGCACAGCCTCTCTCCGGCACTCGGCGGTGGTGCCGTGCCCTCTCCAAGTGCCCATGGTACAAGTGGCTCAAGTCCCTGCGTGTGTAGCAGTGGGCGTGAAGGACTATCGACCCGCAGCGTTCCCACTCGGGTGGGGGCCCGGCTGGCCCTGGGCCCCGTGTGTTCCCGGCGGGCCCCTGCCAGGCTCTTGGGGGGGGGGGGGAGGTTGTCACGCTGTCCCGGGGCCTTTGAAGGGCAGGACCCCAGGAAAGCATCCGCTGCTCTGTCCCCACAGCCGAAGTCTACATTGGCATTGGGAAGCCTGCGGAAGCCACGGCCTGCACCCAGGAAGCCGCCAACCTCTTCCCCATGTCCCACAACGTCCTGTACATGCGAGGCCAGGTGGCCGAGCTCCGCGGAAACATCGACGAGGCCCGGCGGTGGTACGAGGAGGCCCTGTCCATCAGCCCCACCCACGTGAAGAGCATGCAGCGGCTGGTGAGTCTGACCGCGGCGGGACCCCCCTGGGAAGCAGCAAGGAGCTCGTGGCCCTCAGGCCCTCCTGTGGTCCCAGAGGCCGGAGATGGTTCGCCGGCCAGGCCGCCGCCATGCGCAGCGCCAGCGGCACTGCTCCCCCGGAGGGTGGGCTACTGGAGCCCCGGGAGCTGGTGGTGCTCGGCCCCAGCAGCCTGCCCGGCGCGACGGGCAGTGTGAGGCAGGGTCCCCTGGCCACCGGGGCCAGCCACCCCGTGGCTCCGGGTTTAACAAAGTCCTCCCCGTGGCCCTCGCGCTGGCACTGCCCTCTGGGTCTCTGCACTGCTTTTAGCAGCCGCCTTGGGGGGCCGGGGCTCACCCCCCGGGAGAGACTTCAACACGGAAGTCAGAGCACTTTACAGACTGGCGCCTCTCACCTTGTGGGTCCCCGAGACTCCAGCTTGTCTCCAAGGTCAACGCCTCGCAGGGGCCTCCAGTCAGAGGACCCAGAGGGCCAGGTAAGTCGCTCCAGGGTCCACGGAGTATGGGGTGCTGCTCCCCACAAGTGCGCACACATCTCAGCCCGTACCCCACTTTCTGTCAGGTAGGGGAGCAGACTGAGCCCTCCGGAGGGTCTGCGCTGTTAGGAACAAACACTGAGCTGGTGTGGCTCAGTGGATAGAGCGTCGGCCTGCGGACTGAAGGGCCCCGGGTGCAATTCCTATCAAGGGCACAGCAATGCCCAGGTTGCTGGCTCGACCCCCAATAGGGGGTGAGCAGGAGGCACCCAACCAGTGATTCTCATCATTGATGTTTCTCTCTCTCTCCTTCTTCCTACCTCTCTGAAATCAATAAAAATATTTTTTTAATTGAAAAAAAAAAAAGGGGCCGGAACTGGTTTGGCCCAGTGGATAGAGTGTCAGCCTGCAGACTGAAGGGTCCCAGGTTCGATTCTGGTCAAGGGCATGTACGTTGGTTGCGGGCACATCCCCGGTAGGGGGTGTGCAAGAGGCAGCTGGTCGATGTTTCTCTCTCATTGACATTTCTAGCTCTCTATCCCTCTCCCTTCCTCTCTGTAAAATATCAATAAAATATATATTTTAAAAATAATAATAATAAAAATAAATAAATAAAAAACCAAGCACTGAGCCCGTTGCACAAAGCCGCCGGTCCGCTCGTACTTCCTGCGAGACTCTGAATGGCGGCGCAGAGGGAACCAGGCCCACGGAGCTGGTAGAAAGCCATGTTCTCTCCCTGGTCTGCTGGCCGGGCTGGGGCTCTGGCCTTCTTCATTGTCAGCACAGGACCTCTGAGACGCAGTGGGCCCCAGGGAGGGAAAGCCCTGAGATGAAGCGGGGTGCCCTCTGCACCCTCGGTGGAGTCCGGGGCCCCCAGGCAGCGGCGGGTGACCTGTGAGGGCGAGCACTGGACGGCTCCAGGGACCGAGTTCCTGCGCCAGAGGGGTTGCTTGCTGGCCCTTTAACTTCAGGAAAAGCTCCATTTTTCTCTGCCCCGTTTCTGTTCTGTGAAAGGGAAACATTCAACTCGATAGGCTGTGAGTTCCTACAGGTGCTCAGAGGATGTGGTTTTGTAAGGAACAAATAGGATGTTGTCTGAAGGAGCCCGAAGCCTTCGTTCTCCTGCTGAGCAAGTGGTGACTGGTTCTCAGCAGAGAAAGCCGGGCACCCAGCCCCGGGCACCAGGGGGGGGGGGTGCCCCCGGCTTGCTGCCTGACCTCCAGGGTCCCCCGAGTTCCTGTGACCTGGGCTGTGACTGACCCAGTCACCTGTGAGGCCTGAGTGAAACGATTCACATAACAAGCCCGGCAGAGCGCCTGGCACCCAGTAGGTGCTCACTAAATACAGAATTGACAACAGCCCTTTTCAGTGTGATAAATAAATCAGACCTCATGGTAATTGTAGCTGCTTCATTTTTTTCAACTTCCCTTTATCAACATTTCATAGCTCAGTACAGCTTTATAACGTTACATACTGTCCAAACCCTAACGTGTCTGGTTAGAAATGGCTTTTCATTTTTTTTGTCTCCCTATTCCAAGCGGCATTCGCAAGAGCTCCCGAGACCTCCGAGCTCTCTCCAGCATTGCAGGAAAGGTGTAATCAAGGTGTGTGCCCAGCCTTTTTATTAAAAAGAGGCAGCGTGCCTCTGCCTCGGGGCGTATGCATTATTCAGAGAAGTGTTTCTTGTCCGTCCCCACGGGGAACACATGAGACAGAAGATCAGACAGGAAGATCGCCCCGGGAGGGTTTCTGTTTCACCTTTGAGCTCCTCAGGACACCCGAGCTCCCTGACCAATGCCGGGCGCTTCCCTGGGTGAAAGGCCCAGCCCCAGGGGCCTTCTCTGGCCGGGGGACCTGGGCGCTTTGGAGGTCTCAACAGGAAAAAATAACAACAGGGAACTCTGGAGCCTGTTCTCAGGGCATCCGGGTACGTTTGAAAGCTCTCCAGGCTGGAGGCAGGCCGAGGAGTGTAGATGCTCGTGGTCCAAAACCAGCCAGGGACTGTGATCAGGGGGACTCCCAACAGGTGGCCCCAGGGTTCCTTCTCGGTGACCCTGTGGACAGTGCACGCTGGGCTGTGTACTCCCAGCCCTCCCCACGGGGGACAGTCCCTGGAACCATTCCAGCCGTCCCCCTCCTCCTCCCTCCCCAAGCTTTGCACAGAGGAAGGGGGGAAGTGGCCTTGCATACACTCTGGGGGCTACAGAGGGGTTCCAGGCCACACTGGCCTGGGCGGCATCCCAGTTCTGTCTCTCACTAGCATTTGGGGCCTTCTTTGTGCCTCAGTTTCCTCAGCTGTATAAATCGGGGTAGTGTTGGCACCAGAGGAACTAAAAATCTCTACCTGAGTCACTGAAGACCCTGCCTGATCCTCATGGAAGCCAGACTGGCCCTCAACCCCTAATCTCAGAGGAGGGCTGGGCAAGCGAGGTCACAGCTGGCTTTCTACCAGGTCAAGGCCAAGGAAGAGCAGGGCTCTAGACTGAAGTGGCGAGGGAGGCGGGAACAGAGTCTGGGCACGTGCCTGGGGCTGGGGAGCGGAGTGTGCCAATGAGCGGTGGACCAGGAGCGTCTGTCCTGGCCGGGTCAGGACAGGACTTAGCTGGAGTTTGAAGAACGTGAGCACCGGAGACCATCCGGGAACCAGCCAAGGAGGTTCCAGGGCAAGGAACCAGTTGTGGTTCGTGGACAAACCCAGAGGAGGGGAAGCGGTCAGTGTGCTCACAGGGAGGAGAGAAGCAGGAGGGCCGTGGGGGCGCTGTTTGGAAGGAAGGAAGCTGCGTCTGTTACAGGTGGAGACCAGGTGGCGGAGGTGATGGGAGCGCAGTGAGCAGTCGGGAGCTCCCGCCTGTTCCATAAAGAACAATTATTCGTTAACTTGGGGGTTGGGGGGTGAAGAACGCGCGTGCCAGATCACCCGACCCAGCTCAGAGGAGAGGTGTGATTTAAGCAGCAATGCACACACATTAATATCGTTAAGAAGCAATAATGACACGGAGGCAGATGGTATTCATTAACGTTAATAGAAGGTCAGGCTTGACAAGAGAAATGTGAATTAAACCCCAATGAAAATTGACAGTGTTCTCACAGTTTTAGCCTTCCTGTGTGTTTAAATCCACACAGAGAGAGAAGGGAGAAGAGAATTAATGTGCTTATTGCTAACAGTGAGTCGGCACAAGACAAGAGTGGCAGAGAGCTGAGCGTGGGCAGATAGAAGGGCGTGCTGAGTGAGGGGAGAAGGACGGCATGGCTGTGTTGACAAGGGAAGCATTCATAGGCTGATAGGACTTTTTCCCCAGAAAATCGAAGGGCATATTTTTCTATCAGTTTTGCATGTGGATAAATGTTCATACATTCGCATGCTATGCCTACAAGCCTTTTTGTTCCCAGCACCCAAAATGAATTCATGAAAGAGAGCAAGCTTTTCCCCACCAGTTTTTTGTGGAGGAGGAGAGGGGAGGGAAATGGGGATGGGGAGGGGAGTTGGGGGGGGGGGGTACTGAGAGCAGAGGAACCGCATCCCTGGGCAACGCTGCCCAGGCCAAGGACAGACACGGAGACTCGGGCAGCCAAGGACCAGTTACCAGGACGGGGACAGGCTCGGCAAACAAGGACATCTGCTGTCCTCTGGTAACGTCAGCCTGGGCTCTGGAGGGCAGAGCGGAGACGTGAGGGCTTTCAGGGGAGAGGCGAGCGTGGAAGGGAGCCAGGAAGGCCAGGGAGGGGGGGGGTGCTGAGGCCGCACGCACCCGGGGGAGGGAGGGGAGCACTGCTGAGAAACAGTGTGTCCTGGAAGCAGGAGCAGGTGCTCCATCTCCGCGTCCAGGTGACAGGTGTGCTGCAGCAGCAGATGGCGGGCCGTCAGGGCTTGGCAGCGAGGGCAGCTGCAGGGAGGGAGGCAGACAGGCTGAGGCAGGCTTTAGAGGACTGGGCCCAGAGAAGCCTGGGAGGGGCAGTGGGGAGCCAGGGTACCTCTCCCTCCTTGCGCACCACCCCTCCCCATCTCACAGTGGGGGAGGAAGAGCACTAATGAGGGGGTTCTGCAGCTCAGGTGAGTCTGGTGCAGCAGGCACAGGGCATCTCAGAGCTGACGTGAGAGGGAAGTGAAAGTTAAGGATCCATCCCCTAGAGGCCGAGGTTCCCAAGGCAAGGTGGGCCAGAGAAGGGCAGGGAGCCGCCGTGCACAGGAGGGTAAGTCTCTCTTCGCTGGTGGAGCTCTGAAGAAAGGGGACAGAGGAGAGACGCTGGAGGTGATGGGTTAGGCCCAGCCCCCCGCCCAGGAGCATGGCGAGGCCCACCTGCCCCAGCTGAGGGCGCAGGGTGCTGGTGGGGAAGGGAGACCACAGGGAGGCTGCTCAGTGTGGAGTCACTCTAAGGGGCCACCTCATCACAGGATAAGCTTTCTGTTTGGAGCACGGTGGGTCCCATAGTCCTCTGTGGATGGACGATAACATGGAAAACCCTGTTCAGTCGGGATGGCTCGGACTGAAGGCTTCCCAGGCCGTC